CCAATCGGGCAACACCAACAACATAACCCGAAGTAGCCCTCTCTCTTAAATGGCGCCAGGCGCCCTATCTACTCTACAACTTATCCTACAACTACAATCATGGAAGCAACCAGACGACTTGACGACCAGCTAGTGATGACGTCAACACCAATGCCGACCTCCTTTACCACCAGGTACGTCACTCTCTCTTGTCCCTCACTCTCCCTTGTTATCCCACACAGTGCCCTTCACCTCCCGAAGAACCACCTTCGCCCTCACCTCCTCCAGCGCCTTCATGCAGCCTGGCTATGGCTGCTAGCGCCCTGCGCCCAGGCTGCACCCTACCGCTTAGCGCCAGCCTGCCTTCTCACAGACTAGTGCAGCGCAGCACACCCGCAATGCAACAGCGTGCCGACCTTGCTCACAATGGCCAAGATCCCTGCCCACTCGCCCGCTCTGCCTATATGCCAGTGTTGGGTGTGGGCGGTCTACCTTGAGCCTGCGCCTGGGCCCCAGTACCTGTACCCAGGCCCAATGCAGATGGGGCCAAGGTAATACAGTTGCGCCCCTTATGCTAGGGCCGTTGGCCAGATTCAGACTCCGTACCGGTTTCCTATTGGCTTCCCCGGCCTCTACGACGAAATACTGCTTTTCCATAGGCCAGGGACCAATGTATGATGTGTTGGCCTCCCAGACTGTCGCCCAGGGCTCAACCAACCCCGGCCCTGGGCTCAACTGCCTCTGCAAGAGTGGGAGGCTCACAATGCACTTCAACCAACTGGCGTGCGGCAACTGCCTGATACCCACTTTGGGAAATGTTGAATGAAGGCCTCTTCGTGGATATTCTGGCCCGCCTTCACTTAGGGCGGGCACGAGGCTTGCTGGGGGCCTATGCCCAGAACATATGCATGTCGGCAAGGCCCTGTTGAGGGCTCAATCCTCACAATTGAGTCCCTTGTAGTCTATGTACATGCGCAGTCTGTCGCCCTTCTTCGGCACAAACAGCACCGGGGCACCGAACTGTGACGAAGTTGGTCTAATCCACCCCTTTTCTAACAATTCATCTAACTGCTTCCGCAGTTCGTCCAGTTCCTTAGGAAACATTTTACAGATCGGGCCCTTGGGTATTTTGCAATCGGGTTCAAGATCGATCCGGTGCTTGGTCTCTCTCTCGACCACTCCACTCGGCGCATCTCCGACATTTGCAAATTCATTCAACAGTTTTTGTATTTCAGAGGGAATAAGTTCTTCCTTTCTTTCTTCTTCATTCATCGGGCGCACATATGCAACAAATACCTAGTCCGCAAGGCCGTTCTTGGCCGCATGTCGGACAAATGTAGGAGCACTCATGCAACAATGGGCTAAGCTACTCTCTGGACCGGACGCGTGGAACAACCGTACCTTCTTTTTCCCATTTTGGGGCTGAGGAGATAACACTCATGCTCACTCAATTTGATGTCTGCATCCGCGGCTTCGCCCCGGTCAGTTCCTAATATCAAGTCAAAGGGGAGACTGTCCTCCACTAAGAGTGTAAGGGAGTGCAATACGTTCCACTTTACCCTCTGCCTCCAACCGGAAGTATGCCCGAACCCCCTTGACGTAGCTATCTACAACCATCTCTCTATTATCGTCTAACTTACTTACGACGGGTTGTTCTAACTTTTGAATCTTAAGCCCTAACCGCAACTTCTGCAAACCTTTCTTACTGATATAGTTGTGTCTTGACCCACTGTCCACTAGTGCGCTAACTCTAACTCCTGTAAGTTCTACATCTGCCATTATTAACTGTCCTTTTTTCTTCTTCATCTCGGCCAAAGCATGGCGGCGAGTGATCAGTTCATCACCTATGCTTGCGAGGGAACCACCTAGAGAGGTCCTGACAGAAGCAACCTCTGAACAGCTAGCTAGGTGGGGGCCTTTCACCACCTCAGTCTCTGCCATTGGGATCTCTAGAAGGGAGGACAACAACCTGCTTGTATCACAAGTCCTCGTAGAGGCAACTGTTACCTCTACTGGTTGTTCCCTTTTGGGTACCTACAGTTGGGACAAAAGGAACAATGTGGTGGGGGTCACCACATTTAAAACATTGTCCAGCAGCCTAACTCTCTTCCCAAGTCTTTTCATCTATCCCCATTTGCTCCCACGGTTTGCTTATGGGAATTTCGAGATGGGGTGGATACGACCGCCAGTAACTACCTCTACCTCTACCCCTTGTAGAGTTGGAACCTCTACCACCTTGCAAGGGACCATTTCCCCTTCCTCCCGCATAGTAGCTACCCTCACCACTACCCCTCTGGGCAGCGGGTCCTCTTCCTCCACCACGGCCGCGACCTCCTCTTCCTCTTCCACGGGCTCTTCCTCCTTGTCGCCCTCCCCCACGGGCTGCAATAGCCGCATAGTCCCCCCCCAGGGCTAAGTGACCATTGCTATTTTCTTCTAAATCGTAGTCTATTTGGTCATAGGTGAGTGATTTCACTCCTCCTTCGTCGAAGGTGACCAGAAGATTATCTTTTCCTACTATGTTACCTAAGATCGTCTGGTCTTTCCATTTCTTACGGCCCTGCAAGTGCTTTCAATAATGGCAATATTGCGCCTCCTGTAGGAAACCAGCATGATCCACTGCGATCTTGCTGAACTTCTCGTAGGTCATTCCCTCTTCCTTTGTTCGGGAATATAACGGTTTTTTCAAGGGTTCTGGGAGTGCTCTCGCAAAGTTATTCTGTATTTGTGTAGGTGTTAATCCATGGTCTGGGCACTGCAACAATTCGTCCATCGTGGCCTTAAGTGCCGACACACTCTTCCATTTACGGTCACCTATATTGAGGATCAAGGATTCTGTTCTACGGGCCAGGTGCTTATCCTCAAATCTCTCTCTAAGGGTCCTGAAGAAATCCTCAATACGTGTTTGTTGCGAGTATTGGACCATGGAAACACAGCCAACCTCTTTCATCAAAGAGATGTCAAAGCTAATGGCGTCCCCTGCCATATATGAACTTGCCATTAATACACAGTCCCAATATGAAATCTTTTGTGTGTTTAAGTATGTATCCATGGCCGCCTCCCAGTGGAAGCTGCTCTCTTCCTAATTTCCTGTATACGTCCATGACAATTTCACCTTCATCTTCTGCCTGGACTCCTCCGCTTGGCTGTCCCGTTCCTTCTTGGGACCCTTCTTCCTCTTATCTCCATCATCGCCATCGTCTCCTCCATCTCCTCCACCACCACCAATCTTCAATTGCTTAATCATGGCGGGGTCTGTAAGTCTCTGGCAGAGAGCTTCATCTAACTGGTCCACATAAGTACGGACTCGCAAGTCAATCTGTGGGGAGGTACTGTTCAGAAAGTTATTTTAGGCACCTACAAATTCTCCCTGTTGTGCCTCTACTTTGTTAACGGTGTGGTGGAGTGCAGTGAGCTTATCATTGGTATGGAGGAGGGTGTCAGTGAGGAGGGTAAGTCTCTTTTCCATTCCAACCTGCTTCCCTTTCTGCTGCTGCAGCAACTTCCGCAAACTTTCTCCCTCCTCCTTCATCGTCTTCTTCTCATCAAACCCTTTTCTTTTCTCTAGCAGCATGCGGTTATGCAAGTCTGCTCTTCTCTCCTCCACCAATAATCGTTTCTCTTCCTCATCCTTTACTTCCGCCAGTAATTTGAGGAAAGCTTCTTTCTACTCCTCAGTCTCAGCTGGCAACTCATCCCGCAACCCGAGCTGGCCTAACCAGTCCATTGCTTCCCACTGGCGCATCCGAATGTTGCCCATTTGGTTGCTCTCAGCCTGCTCTTGTTGCAGTCCGCCTCTCCTTCTTTCCAGCCTCTGTGCATCTTCCTCCTCTTGTTCCTCCTCTTCTATGGCCATCAACTCCTCCAACAACCTTCTCTCTTTTTCTTTCATGGCCCTCTCCTTCTCCTGAACCTCCTCCATCTGCTGCTTTTCTTCTTGCAACTTCTTCTTCACTTCCTCCTCCTTTTTCTTCCTCTTCTCCTCTTTCTCTTTTCTTTTCTCTGCCAGCCAACGGTCTATTTCTGCCTGCTCCTCGGCTGAATGCACCTGGGTTGACTTCCCAGATCTCATTGTTGTGTAACAGGAAGAGGTGCGCTGGAAGCCAAGAGGAAAGAGAAACCGGAACAACGGGGCCCAAAGTACAGAGATGGCCAGCATCGAGAACATAGGGTAGTCATCCATGGGGGCAAGGGCACAGGTAAGTAGCCTCCACCCCCTCACCACGTAGACTAACCTCCTCTATTCAACTTAATACTTTATCTAGAGTAAGTCTAACTCTTGCTGTTTGCTTAGTTCCTCCTCACGGTGTCTACTGCCTTTCTCCTACTCCGGACTGTATATTTTTTTTTCTTTTTTTAACAATGCTGACTGGACACTAGACTGAAACCAATTGTGTATGTCACAAGACTTGGACCAGTCCAGCGGCAGCGACACCAGGATATGGAAGGTACCAATCACCAAGACACTTCAGCAAGCAGTACAAGGCTTAGGGGGGCGATGCACTTCACTCGGTGAACATTCCGTTGGTGAAGATCCTCGTTCGCTCCTCTTCGCTCCAGCGCAGCCATGACAGGTACGTAATTACCAATCCCTAGCCCCTTCTTCTTCGGCTCAACCTTCTCCTCCCTTTCGTCAGACCTCTCCAACTCTCTCTTATCTCTTCTACTCGTCGGCCTTAATTGTTGCCAGCGATGTTCAGTGGATGCAGTGAGCTATGGGTCCGATACCAGTTTGCTATGAACCGCACAGTTCATCACCAATGAGTGATCACATACACACGCATCAATCACAAGTGCGATAAGACGAGTTCGCACACTGGATGTCAGAGAGTAGAAAACCAGATAGCGCAACTTATAACTTTCAACAAATTATCACAAGAGCAATAAGATTTCAAGTCACCAGCAATCGTCAACGCATACAAAGGTAACCAGTAACCAGCGTCAGCTCTCAGGTAAGAACCTCTCTCCAGCTCTTCTTCTCCCTCTGTCTCTCTCTCTCTCTCTCACTGGTCATCTCTCTAGCTATGTCCTCACTGTGTCTTCTCTCCCTACATGCATGCACACTCACTAACTACTGCTCAAGGATCTACTCTGGATACACCCACTGCTATGCCTACTAACTACCACTAGCTAACACTAACACTCTGCACTGGCGCAGCTATGGCTGCCTTCTCCCTGCCAGTGCTAACTCTCTCTCTCTCTCTCTCTCTCTCTCTCTCTCTCT